TTATTGATTTTTTGAATATTTACTTTTTACAAAAATGCAGTTTTTTTTAAATGCATTTTTTTTAAAAAAAGTTGTACTTTTTTTTTTAAAAAAAAATGCTGTTTTATTATAAAAAATTACAGTTTTCTGGAAAAAAATGCAGTTTTTTTTTATTTTTAAAAATGTTGTTTTTTTAAAAAAATATTATAGTTTTTTAAAAAATATTTTCTTTTCAATTTTTTTAAATATTCAAGTATTTCTGAAAAAAGTAAAAAATCTTCATTTTAAAAAAAAATTGAAAATTATTTTTAAAAAAATATAAAATTTGATTTATTATGTTAGTTTGTAGAACATTTTATTAATATTTTCAATAACAAAAAAAAATTAAACATTAAATGAGATCGGTAAGATGACGATCATGTCATTAATGAGTAAATTTTGATCTAACGTTCCACCTTTAGTTCTCGGGTTCTCGGGAAACTATAAGTTCTCAACCGAGCTCACCCCTATATATAGGAATGATCATTTGAGAACTCAAAGTTTCCCGAGAACCCGAGAAACAAACCAGGGTCGTTAGATCAAAATAATAAAAGGTTATTTGTGGCATTTTGGTAAATACATGGTAAAAAAAACGGGGGCATGATAACTAAATGATTCAGGGGCATTTTAGAGATGAATTACCTGTGCGTCTCTCTCTCTCTCTCTCTCTATCTCATCCAACCTCCTACTGTCACATCGCCTCCAAAGACGGCCCCCTCGCTCATCTTCTTCTTCATCGTCGTTGTCTTTGGTCGCCGGAGACGATGTCTTCATCCGTCATGACTCCAATCGTTGAACATGGAGGAGCATCACTTCGGTAAATCATATGTGTCACATGAAGAAGACGATTACAGGTTCACTCTCTTCAAAACTAACCTCCACCACACAAATCGTCATCAAAAGCATGGTCTGTCGGCTTATCCATGGCGTCACTGGATTCTCCGACATGACTCCATCGGAATTTCGAAAGCATCTCGGATTGAGATCTCGATTTCATAACAAGTTCCACGCCGACACTAGCGAGGCTCTGATCCTTCTGACAAACATTTCAAAACCATGGTCGATCATCTGGAAGAGGAATTACCACTCACCGACCATCTGAAACTCGAGCTTCTGTACCCTGATTGTTGCATCATAATCTTAATTGATTTTATATACTGTTTTCAGAATCGTTCTGCAAACACTCTACACCGGTAAGCTCTCTCTTTGTGCTAATCGTTTTGATTTGAATTATAATTTGTCGAGTTATGTGCTCATAGTTGTTTTTGATGCGTTTTTATACAGATTCAATCGATACGAAGATTGAACTGCTTATTTAAATTAACACCTTCATAAAATCTCACTGTTCTAATTGCTTATTGACCTAAGAGTAGAAGATGAACTGGGATCTGCAAATGGTAAGAAAGCAAAAGAATATATGGAGAAAGGGCAGTTGGTTCTAGATGAGATAGTTGGCATGGTACGTATGATTCTTTGACCTTCATTGTAAAACTTTATATATAGAGCTTTTTTGTAATTATTTCTTCCCTGGATATAGATGGTGAAGGATCGTTTATCACAATCAGATTCTGCTGAAAAAGGTTGGCTTTTAGATGGATACCCAAGAAGCTCATCACAAGCAACTACACTTCAAGCCTTTGGTTTCCATCCAAACCTTTTTATTCTTATTGAAGTGAGATTTGTAATTATGTTGTTGTTTTTTTTTGTTTGGATTGAATTTGAAGGTACATTTGTATCCATTTTGTTTGATTGATTTTTAACAGGTTCCTCAGGAGCTTCTGGTTGATAGAGTGGTTGGGCGTAGGTTGGATCCTGTTACTGGTAGAATATATCATTTGACATATTCACCCCCCGAAACTGAAGAAATTGCTGCAAGGCTCACCCAACGTTTTAATGACACAGAAGAAAGAGTAAGTTTTTGTTAAATTCAATTCTTTTTACAGTTGTTATGAGTTTTGCATTTTATCATGTAAATGATTAATTATTATATTTCTCAGGTAAAGCTTCAGCTGCAAACACATAACCAAAATGTTGAATCAGTTCTTTCCATGTTTGAAGATATTACAGTCAAGGTATGCATGTAACTTTACACTTGTTGACTTTACCTCAAATTTAAACTTGGTCAAATGATTTTTGTTAGTAAATTTGTGAATTCTAATGCTTTCATTTTGAATATGTTCTGCAGTCATTGGTCCTTGATGAACTTGAATTCAAGAAACTATTCATGGTTCATAGTTATCTTGGGAGGTTAGTGATGGGTTTTGAGCATTCTAACACTCCTATGGTGTATATGCAACCCTAGAACCCTTGGATCTATGTTTTCTCTAAGATACATGCAAATAATAATTTTTCCAAGGTTTACTTCCTAACTAGCATGTTATGAGGTACTTGAATCATAAATCACTAGTAGAAGAACATACCTTTTGTTGCTTGGATTCCTTGAGAATCTTGTGAGCGTAGCACCTCAAGTGTGATGCCTCAAATGTCTCACACAACACCATAACTCTTGGAATAACCTTGAGAGAAGTTCACTAACACTCAAAATCGGCTAGCCCTCTAGTTCTCTTCACTTAGTGGCCTATTTTGCTAACTATGGAGCTTCTTATATAGTGTGCCACATGTAGGGTTACTCCATGTAAACCCTAATGTGCATGGCTTTTC